GCCTGCCCCGGCCGCGGGAAGCGCAGGGCGGGTGCCGGGGGAAGCCCGAGGGAGATGCGAGAACTTGGCGCCTCAGGTTGCTTTTCTGCTTGTTTTTTTTTCAAGTCTCCCCTTCCACCCCTCGACAGAGCTGTGGGAAATGCCGGCACCCGAAAAACCTCCTGCCAACAGACAGAAATGAACTAAACCCGCACTTTTTCCTCTGAGGGGAGCCGAAGAAGAGCGAGCACCGAGCTCCCCCCGGCTTGCTGCCAGCTGCCTGCCCGGCCTGGGACCCCATCCCCCGTTTACTGCATCGGTACTCCCTGGAGTAAAGTCCGCGGGATAAAATCTGGCAGCCGAGCTACGGGCTGAACCCGGGAAAACCGCATTTCGCTCAGAGCAGTCACTCGGGACCCTGGATTTTATGTGCCTGCTTCTGCCCTGAGGAGGGGGGAGTTTACGACCCCTTTACAGCCCCTCTCGCCACTGCTGTTTCGAGGGGACCCCCCACAGCCCCTCTCCTGCCACCGGGTTAATCGGTCACCTGGCAGCGGGAGCCACCAAATGTTTTGTAAAGTGCCTCCTGACGCTAAACCCCGTGTACCAACCGCTCCGTATTTTTTCCGTTTCCTGCGGTAATTGACATATAATATCTCTGTTTATAGCTGGTTTGACAGATTCATACAGATGTATATTTTTGCTTATTTTCAGAGTTATATATACCCAACGCACGCTAACTAAAGGAACAGTGAAGGAAATCTGGGAATTCCGTTGTGCAGGAAATCTGTGCAGGGCTCTTGCTATTATTTATAGAAAATGCGATGTCTTTATTTTGGGAGTTCTCACTGTAGAATTGCCTTATTAGGAGTCTCAAGCAGAGATCAAACTCGGAGAATGGAGAAAGTATACTCAGCGCGACAAACAACAATCTTTAAAAAAAAAGCTCTTCGGGTATAATTTCTAAAGTGAAAAGTTTATTGTGAGACCGACAACCATAGGATTCATTTAACGGAAAAACAGCGGCATTATGACTTCCATCCAGGCTGTCAACAGGAGATACAAAATAACCCCAATTTGGCAGAAATAATTTGGTTTCCATTAGCATTTCTCCTCGCGCGCAAGACGCACAGACCGTGCTGGGTATTATCGCAACCCGCAAATACGGCCGCTAAATGCCCTGCACAGAGCCAGGCAGATGCCTATAAAAGAAGTAGCTAATTCATCTGAAAAGTTGGTGACAATGCAGCACTTCACGTATTTTGGCTAATCGTTTTATATCACCCAGGCTTCTTTTAAATCTGTCACCTTCACAGCGAGGAAGAAAAAACCCACCCCAGCCATTCACTCGAGATAACGCTTCTTCCCCTTCCAGGAACTGGGGGAGTGGGTGTTTCTTCTGCTCAGGGTTTTTTTGGTTTTTTTTTTTCGGGGAGTGGGTGAGACGACTTCGTTGCTTCGGGTTTAAACACATCTCATTTCAGAAAAAAAAATTTCCTTACTGACAGGGAAACGTTCGAGGCTGCTGGTGAGCAACACCTGTCAGCGCTGACTTGGTTCAGGCACCTTGGGAGGGAAACACAAGCACAAGCCTCTGCGAAGCTGGCGTTTGCTGGCGGCAGGGGGACACTGAAGCCGGGAACGGGTCAAATTCACCCTGATTTGGCTGCCTACTGCTGCCCTAAGAGCCGTCTGCTCTGTGGAGCGATGCCCTGCTGCCCGGCGGCGCGGTGCGCAGCAGCACCCCTGCCCTACCTAGGTGTGGGAGACCAACCCACTCCGACAGCAGGACCCCGGCTTTCGGAACGCTCTGCTAAGAAACCAACCGCTGGCGTTTAAATCCGTTTATTTTTTTTTCAGTGTTTGTCTACCAACAGAGCCTGACAGTGCGAGCTGGGGGCGGCTTCCCCCCC